CCCCCCTGATTTTAACGGGGTGGTGGGGGTGGAGGTCCCTTTTCTTAATTAGCAATAATGTCCAAATACAATTGCTTAATCGGGAACAGATTGCCTGGTCGGAAAATCGAGCGTGCATTAGCCAGTTTGCCAACTCACTGATAGTTGCCACATCCATAAACTAATGTTGATTTGGACGACAAGGATTTTGCATATTACAGTGTTGACATCAACATGGGTAATAATAATGTAAGTGATCTTTTGGCTTTTAAATCATTTGCAAGTCCTTGGAGGTACCAAGTTTTACTATGGCTGCTTATGATCTAAGAAGTTGGGATAATCTCAATGAAATAGCTATTGGACATACTAGTGAAGAAGAGACTTGTATAAAACAAAACAATAATTGTATTTCCTTTAGCTGACAATTCAAGATAGTTATTTAATAGTCTTTTATGGTCTACGGTAAAGGCCCCGAGTTATAGTTTCGTCCCGGGCCCCTGAATTCTCAGGACCGGCCCTGCTCCTACCATGGAGGCATCGACCCACAATCCATGGTTGATGCTGAGCTAGGAGTGAAAGAAGACACCTTCTACTCATTCTACCGCAATGTGGGCAGTTAGTGGTATCTCGAGCATGGATGTCGTGGGGCGGGACACGTTGAGTCCCACCATTAGAATTCCTGGGGGAAGAGAATTTTGGATGGTCAATGCATGGAAGGACAATGACCAACACGTGATGCTCGATCGAGCGTTCCAACAGCATGGCCGCGAAGGAGCTTTCTCGCCTTCCTACATGCTTTTTGATGCTCAGCGAACCAAAATTTCTTGTTTCCTTGAGGGTTTAGAGCCTGTTTGGGACTGCTCTGCTCCTTAAAATTCAGCTTCGCTCTGGAAAATACAAGCCAAACGGGGAAACTCCATGATATGCCACTCCACAAAAAAAAAATCTGGGGTACACCTCCCAGATTTTTATGAAGCTCTTCAAGGGGTGCTTCAAAAAACTCTAGAAGCTGCAGTTGGGCGAAAATTACCAACCACTACCACCAGTAAGTGGATACCCCTCCGTTTCTTCCCCCTCAACCAATCAAATTGATCCTTTCCACCAAATTTCCCATTCTTGAAGCTGGAGCTCCATGCATTCTAAACATTCTATTCGGTAGTGCTACAACTTCTATATGAAACTGCTCCAAAGTGGAATTGGTGGAGTGAAGCTGATTTTGGTGAAGCGGAGCAGTCCCAAACAAGCCCTTAATATATCCTTTTTCCACTTTTTTTCCTTCCAAAAGTAATAGTAACCCCGTGTTTGTATTTTGTACCCTTTTATTTTACTTCACCAATTTTAACGGCATCTGCATTTGATAGCCGAGTTGTTCATCATGTTCCGAGCGACCTGGGTGATATGAAAGTTCATCACTAGAAAGCCGGGGGCACCATGGCGGCGGTGATGGCTTGGATAATTAATTTTATGCCCCTACTTGTATCCCATCGGTTTGATTTGCCGCTAGTTTAAAAAAATCAGTTTTTCCCGAGTGTGTTTGCTTCTCTTATGCTTTTGCCCTTTGACCATTTGATCGTTACTTTGAGAACTTCATAACAAATTCATACTAACCAGAAAAATGGAAATAAGCTATCTAAATGTTCTAGGAAAACATCATCTATATGTGAATGTCATTTGCATTCAAGACAAATGTGTTCGACTCCATCAATTTTAACGGCGTCTGCATTTGATAGCCGAGTAGTTCATCATGTCCGGAACGACCTGGGTGATATGAAAGTTCATCACTAGCTAAGAAGCCGGAGGCGAAGGAAATGGTACGTCTAGATGTCCTTCCAGCATTAAGATGGCGGTTTTGATGGACGGCCTAGACTCAGGTTCTCCTTGCACGCACAAGAGCCTAACCTTCACCACCCGCTCCACGGCCGCCGTATCGACCTCCTCCTCGCTTTTCATGGCCCTATTCAGCTCACCCTTCAGTAGGCACTCATACACCAGCTCCATCAGGGTTTGCTCCTCGCCGGCCTCCTCCATTTCCATGTTCCTCCTGCACGTCATGATCTCGAGCAGCACCACACCGTAGCTGTACACGTCAATCTTCGCCGTGACAGGGCCCGTGCCCCTGTACCACTCGGGGGCCAGGTACCCACGCGTGCCGCGGACACCGGTGAAAGTGTGTGTCTGGTCAGGTTGGAGCAGTTTGGCGAGCCCGAAGTCGGCGATCTTGGCCGTGCCAGCCGCGTCTATGAGGATGTTCTGCGGCTTGACGTCACAGTGGATCACGCGACTGCTGAGCTCGTCGTGGAGGTAGTGCAGGCCCCGGGCCACGTCGAGCGCGATGCCAAGACGGTCGGACCACGGAGGCGTCGAGGCAGCACCCCTAAACAACAGGTCGGTCACCGAACCGTTGCTCATGAACTCGTACACCAGGAGGCGGTGCGCGCCCTCGTGGCAGAAGCCGAGGAGGCGGACCAGGTTGCGGTGGCTCGTCCGCCCGATGGCGCGCACCTCTCTCTGGAACTCCCGTTCGCCATCCTCCACGAGCTTCTCCAGCCGCTTCACGGCGATAGCCTGCTCGCCGTTGCGCAGCGCACCTTTGAACACCGTGCCGAACGCGCCGCGGCCCACCGGGTCACGGAAGCAGTACGTGGCGCGCTCCAGCTCCAGGTAAGTGTACGACCTCAGGGGCGCCGCCTCCTCCTCCTCCTCGTCCAAGCCTTCGCCGCCGTCCGCGTCCGTGTTCGCGGGTGCCACGTTCCGGAGCACGGCCCTCCGTTTCACGTGGAGCAGCCACCCGGCCGCAATGAAGGCCGACAACGCGACGCATGCCAGGATGCCGATGCAAACCAACGCGATGACGGTCGTGCGCCCGACGGGTTTGCTGCGGGTGCCGCTGCCGCCTGTCGCCGCTCCCGCGGTCTTGACGAACAGCGTGTATCTGCCTCCAGCGCGGCCGTACCGCAGAGGGAGCTGCTGCTTGCTGCACGTGCCTTTGTCGGTGTCCCGCAGCACTACGACGCACAAGCAGTCGGCCATGCATGCCGCCATGCACTCTGCCGCGCTCGTGGCATTGCGCACCGTCTCGTACGGTACGTCCGCCCACCTCATGTTCGGCATGGACTTCACGGAGAAGTCTGCGGCATCTTGTTGCTGCCCCCATTTACAATCGCCGGCGCTGGAGTTCGCCGTGCAACCGAGCTCCGCATTGCTCGCGTCGAGAAAATCGAACCCTGGCGGGCACAAACAGCTAGGCCGATCCTGGTCGAGGACACAGTAGCTGTTGTGCCCGCAAACGCCATGGACATCGCACCGATCGGTCAGAGCGCTCCACACGACGGTGGTGGTATTGGACGCACTGCCAGAGCCAGACACGAAGGCATGGCGGTACAAACGCAGAATTCTGTCAGGATCAAGCGTGAGTCGGTAGTAGGCTTGCTCTCCCGCTCTTAAGGCTCTAGGCTGTGTCAGGTTTTTGGTAAAGCTCCCATTGCTGTTCACTAGGTAGAGCACGCCACTGGTATCAAGGCGCAAGATGTGGGTGAAACCCAAATTGAACGTCCCCGTGTTCCAGTACGACGAGGCTGGGTCGTTCGGCGTGCCCACCGGGTACAACACCAGGTTGCCGTCCTCTTGCTGGTTGGCGAGCCGGTACTTCCCGACGGCCTTGTTTGTGTCGGACACGCTGGAGAAGAGCTGCGTCGCGGGCACGAGGTCCTGCCCGGCGACCAGGGTGTCCGCCGAGGACTCGAACGTCTGCCACACCACGGCGCCGTCAGCGCCGAACAGCACAAAGTTGCCGTCATCGCGCATGGCGCCCGCCACGGCCGGCCTGGACGGCTGCGCGATGGTCCTGTCGTGGTCGCTCGCGCCTATCCAGAGGAGACGGCCGTCGTCGGCGAGCCTTAGCGTGCCGCCTGTTGCCGTGTCGTTGCGCTTCGCAGTCCACGTGATGGTTACGTTGGGCGTGGTGGCGAGCCAGACGCCAACTGCGAGGCCGCCTTCCGTGGCGTAGAAGCCGAAGGAGAAGCGGCCTGACGGGGACGACCAGCCGGCGCCTGCGTCGGCCTTCACGGGGGACAGAGATGTGATGCCCCTTTGCGCGCATGAAAAGTCGAGGGAAACAAGCATGGCTAGCGCTAAGCACAACAGCAGATGCAAATGGTTAGCAGCCATGGATGGTGAGCTGCTTACTAGGCTCAATCTATACTTGCTCGCTAACTGCGTAGAGTACGATGATTGCAGTTACTAGTAGCAGTACTAGCTACCAACCATTCAACAGGTCAATCGTGTTTTCTCAAGGAAGACGAGACTTGTTGGGCGAAATAGTCGTAGTTTCGACCTTTCAAACGGACGACGGAATGTAGCTCTCGGTGATTAATCAAACTAGCAGAGAAGGCGTGCCGGTAGAGTGCAGGCGATAAGATAGTGATACTATGGACTTCTTCTGTGCCCGTTGCCGCCGCGACGCGTAAAATAGTGGCGCCGGCTATCGATAATGGCCCGAGGACGCGTAAAAATCTGCCGGGTCAAGAGTCGTTGGATCTGTGCAACATTGTCAGTAGCAGTATTGGACATGTTGCGATATCACGGTGACCTCGCAGATGACATTGTAGCTCGACCACAACATCGGTCATGTTGCAATCCGGCCGCAACATCTGTCATCATGCTGCTATATGGAGTCGGTGCTTCTGTAACACAGCCCTTGTTGTGGTGAGGTTGTCGCATGGGCACATTGTCTCCAAGCTCGGGCTTGCAACGGAAAGTCGTCCTCAAGCACCGGCTTGCAGCGTCGAGTAGTTTGCGGCCGCACACGGCATCGCCGATAGCAGCATGCTCGTAGCAGTCAATGTTGGGTGATTTGTAGAAGTTGGTTGGGGCGGTGATGGGGGTTGGTGGGGTAGACAGCGAGCTTACATGAGTTGGGGTCCACCGTAGTGAAGCACGGATCATGACGCAAATCAAACGGACACGCACTCGGTCGACCGGCCTCGATCGACTGCATGATTGGAAGTGTTTTCCGTAGACAATATAGATAAGTTGCCTGAAAATTAGATTAGGATTAGTCAAATATTTTTGACGAGAAGGTCTAAATCGGACCGCTCCCGTGCCTTTGTTTACTTGTTCCTTCTCCAATCTGCCTTGTAGTGGCGATCGGCTGCCTGCTGCCACCGCCCACGCCCGGTGGCGTTTTGTCCCCGGCTATGGGTCACTCCCGCCGAGAACTCACCGGTGTTCCAGCACCTCGTCGCACTTGCCGCCGCCATCTTCCGCCTTGACACTGCATGTCTCTTCTATGCTGAATCGACTTATCTCAATTCAAAATTCAGGCAACTCATGTGTAGTCGCTGTGTAAAATAATACTGTGTGTGTGTGTGTGTGTGTTTTTTCTTCTTCTTATTAACCCTGCATTTAACTCCAGACTGAGAAAAAGAAAGACTTCTCCACACAAAAAAAAGAAAAAAGAAAAAAGAAAGACTGGGTTGCATGCAGTATGTGCATGTTGGTCCACGTTCTAAAATTTAAGGTTTGTTTGTGGTGCATACATTGATGTGGATGGGTAAAACACAAACTAATTGTTTTTTTTGCAAAAACTTAATTTGCAGAGCAAAAAGCACTGGGAGTACTAACCAAAACATGACGACGCGTGTGCAATACATAAAATACTTAGAGCACATCTTAGATGTGTTTTAGCAAAACTGTTTTTTTTTGAACCATGCAGGAGGGCTGCATGTATTATATTGAAGAGAGGGAAAAAGTACACAACCAATAGAGTTACAAGCTGAAGCAAACCAGAGTAGAAAAGCAGTGAAGTCACGGTAAACCAAAACAACCTACGAGCTACGAAGTCTAGTCCACCAGACTACCAACAAAGATCTAAAGCTAACTAGTGAATTACAAAACGGCCTAGACTAGCTTCCGCCCATTGCTCTGCATTAATTTTGATTTGATCAATGACTCTTTGAAGCGGCGTGTGGGAATTTTCAAATATTCTTCCATTCCTTTCTCTCCAAATGCTCTAAATAATTAATGGTACCATCATATTCGAGGAATCCTTGCTAGAGTCCTGGACTCTAGTTCTGGCCTCTTGCCACCAATTTTGGAGAGAGGTAGTAGCATTTTGGGGATGGCCTCGCTTAGATTTGCCCAATGAAGCACCGAACTCTAAATGATGTTGATGACGCTGCAGCCGATGAATAGATGATGAGGGGATTCTTGCACATTGTTGCAGAAACAACATGCATCAATATGTGGCAAGTCTCGCTTGGCAAGACGGTCTGCTATCCAGACTCGCCCCCTGACGACCAACCAAAGGAAAAAATTGCATTTCAGGGGAGCCCAAGCCTTCCAAATGATGCAGTCAGTGCTACATTGAATCGATGGAGCAAAGTGTGCTTTAGAGACTGATTCCACCGAGTAGGTTCCCTTTGAATTCCATAACCAACTTCACTTGTCTTCAACCCCTTGCGTGATCTGAACTTCACTGACACTATTAGAAAAAGGGCTATAGATGGGATAGACACTAATAACACACCTGTCAGGTGGTGCCCCACACCATGCTAATGACGCACCAGGCACAAGGTGCGTCACTAGTAATATTTTTTTTCCAAACATTCTAAACTAGTAATGGCGCACTGTGCCACGGTGCGCCATTAGAATATATACTTTTTTTTGCAAAACTTTTAATGACGCACCAGAAGCAGGTGCGCCATTAGTAATCAGGGTCGACCCCCCCCCGCTCCACCGGCCGCCGCCGCCGAC